GAAAGCCTCGGTAGTGCAGTAGCGGCACCCCCAAGCTATGGAGCCTCTCACGAATGCGAGAGCTATCCCTTGAGGCACGAGGCTGCTCTCTGGAAAGAGGTGTTTATTAAACAACCGTCTAACTTTCTGGGGCTCAGGCAGGGTCTCCCTCTCCCTGGTCACACAATACAATCTCCCACACACTGTGCTCTCTCTCAAACAGACTGGCTACGTCTACACTGGCATGATTTTCTGAAAATGCTTTTAACGGAAAACTTTTCCGTTAAAAGCATTTTCGGAAAAGCGCGTCTAGATTGGCAGGATGCTTTTCCACAAAAGCACTTTTTGTGGAAAAGCGTCCGTGGCCAATCTAGACGTGGTTTTCCGAAAAAAAGCCCCGATTGCCATTTTCGCAATTGGGGCTTTTTTGCGGAAAACACTACTGTGCTGTCTACACTGGCCCTTTTGCGCAAAAGTCTTTCGGAAAAATACTTTTGCCCGAACGGGAGCAGCATAGTATTTCCGGAAAAGCACTGATGATCTTACATGAGATCGTTAGTGCTTTTCCGGAAATTCAAGCGGCCAGTGTAGACAGCTGGCAAGTTTTTCCGCAAAAGCAGATGATTTTGCGGAAAAACTTGCCTGTCTAGACACAGCCACTGTGTCCGGCCAGGCTCTGTTCTTAAAGGGACAGATTCCCACAGACCGAAGAGACACAATGAAACTGCAACAATAAAACTAATAGCACAAGCCCCAAAGTCACTGCTCAAAGCAAAGTTCTGCCACCCATGACCTGTCCGATCCTGGCTCTAGGCTCCTTGCACTAACTAGGGAGAGAGATAGCTCAGTGGTTTGCACGTTGGCCTGCTAAACCTAGGGTTGTGAGTTCAATCCCTAAGGGGGCCATGTGGGGTAAGTCTGTCAGAGATGGTACTTGGTCCTGCCATGAGGGCAGGGGGCTGGACTCAATGACTTCCCAAGGTCCCTTCCAGCTCTATGGCATATTACCACTATGGATGCCGTGCTCAGCTGGGTGACTGGACCTGGGCCCTTGCTGTTCCAGCTGTCCTGCCAGGCGTGGCCTGGGTCAGTGCCACCACTTCTGAACACCAATGAGAGGATGCTCAGAGGACTTGTTAGTGTCACTCACTCCACCCTGTGCCCTTCCAGGCTGCTACACCATGACAGCTGCTCAGGAGCTGGGGACTGCAGGCCTGCTCCCTGTGGCCTCCCTATGGCGCCTCCCTATGGCCAGGTGCCCAAGAGCCCACCCTGCTCATCATCCATCATGTACTGGCACCCTTGTATCATGCTCATTGACTCGAGGCCACGCTCCATCCCTAGGGTGTGCATGCAGCTCTGGCTGAGGGGTTCCCTCCATGTCAGCTGCACCCAAAGCTCCGGGCATTGTGGATGCAGGTGAGAGCAGGGTTGGTGCTTCGGGGACTCTCCAGGGGGCACTACTCCGCCCACTACAGAGGTCAGCTGCCTCAGAGCTGCATGCCCGGCATCAGCCAGCTGCTCTGGGGACTGGCAGAGCAGCTTTGGGGCAGGAGTTTTCAAAAGCAGTGAACCTGGGGGGGGCCTACGTCCCTTTTTCAAAAGTCCCAGGCGGTTCAGAGGCTGGCTTCATGGGATCGTGGCAGATGGGACGGAAGTGGTTTTTACCCCTAGGTGCGGGTGGAAATGTTGCCATTGGAGGGAGCTTTAAACGTGACTCCTGCAAGCTTTGCTGTCAGGTACGGGGCACAGGGAGCAGCACGCACCCCCTGCAGCCTGCGGAAGCCTCCGTCGCTCGCTGGACAGAAGTCAAGGTGCAGCCAAGCTCTCTTCTGTTTGGATCTTGTCATAGATGCGGAGGAAGGTGCCCAGCTCTCTGGGACAGCGAGCAGCTCCGGGAAGCTCTGCTAATAACTGTAGCACTCGCCTGTTGCCATCTCCTGTTCTCTGGCTAGAATCACAGGTGTAGCCTGGCTGCTGTGTGCTGCCCTAGTGCCGCAGAGGAGCCAGGTGATGGTGCTGGATTTTGCCAGGTAGCTCTCAGCAGCATCAGATAGGGAGGAGTCTGGCTCCTGCCATGATTAGCACCGTGAGGCTGGGCTGCTGCCAGCCAGTGGGTGCACTTACCTGGATGGATGTGCCCTGGCCTACAGCCACCCACACGCAAGCTTAGCTTTCCTCCCCTGTGTAACCCAGCTGATTGCCAGGGAATTAGCTAGCCTGGCATGCCAGGCAAGTAGGCAAGTGCTTGCAGGCTCCAGCCGCGAAGCTGGAGGCTGTTGTCACAGCCTCCCGCTCCAGTGTGGTTGTAGCTGTGCATCTGGCCAGTCTGTTTAACACAAGGAGGCTTTGAAATGCTTTCCAACCCTGCCTGTTCCTAGCCCGCCCCCCACCCACGCCAGGGCTGCCTGTTTTTCCCCTCCACCCTGTCGCTGGTGTCTATAAACAGCCGGGGCTCTCCGGGATGGGTAATGGGCCACCCGAACCCGTCAGTGCCGGCCTGAGGTGAACTCCCCTCGCAGCAGGGGCCTGAGTTGCTGAGCGGTACCAGGCTGGCGGAGCGCTGAGGTGTGTTGCTGCGGCAGGGTTGTTCCAAAAGGGGGACAACTGCCCTGGGGCCCGGTGAAACAAAAAGACCCGGAGCTCCTGGCTGCTGCGACGGTGGCAGTGGCGGCCAGAGCCCTGGGCCCTTTAAATCATGACGGAGCGCCGCACGGCATGCTGCGGGCAGCACTGAGGCCTACCTGGGGAAGGAGCGCTGCTTCCAGGGGCACAGAGCAGTCCCCCCGCCTTGCCCAGGCTGCCAGCCCACAGCCCACAGCGCAGCATGTTCATTCAGCAGCCCTCCCTTTAGTTGTGAGAAAGGCTCGGTTCGGTGGCGAAGGCGCTCAGCCGGGTTTATTGCCAATGAAGCACAGGGCCAACACCCCCTCGGAGCTACAGGTCGTCAGGGCTGCTCCCCACTCTGTCACTCTGAGTGCAGAAGGTGGGGGCCCACAAGAGACCTTAAGCAATACCTTGCCTCTATAGTATTCTGCGTAAAAGCTCCCCAACGTTACAGATTCCCTGGCCTTGGGAGATAGGCTGCCACCACCAAGTGAAAAAACCCCTTCTTCTTGAGCCCGGGAAGAAGCACTTGGAACTTCTTCCAGGGGGGTACCCCAAGCTCTTCTTCAACAAGAGAGCTTAAAAAAAAAGAGAGAGAAAACAAACTGTAATCTCAGATAGCTGTGAGTTTCAGGCATGCATACACAGACCTCCTTTTACCTTCCAGGACACAAGAATCAAATCATCGCCTTAAAAAAGGTGATTTTAGTAACAAAACAGAAAGATATACTTGATAAAGCATACTTGGTTGCTAGGTGTTTTAAAGCAACTGAGAAAAGAGCAATTTAAAAATACAGAGAAATTCCACCCCTGGGATACAGCTTAAAGTTACAACATGGGGCAGAGGGGGGGACACACATGGACTTAGCACAGAGAAATTTAACCAAACAGCAAAACAAAGAAAATAACCTGATCATGTTGAAATAGACATTTCCCTATCTACTCACGATCTATGCTTCAAGGTCCGGTCCATTTTCATGCCCAGTATTCTTTGTAGGCATGGTATTTCTGCCTGGTTCAATTCATCTTGTTCCCCCAACTCCTGGCTTAAAACTCACACAGGCAACATCTAGACTACACAGTTTTTCCAGGATACCAGAGGTATCTCGGAAAAACTGTTCCTCATCCAGGGAATGCGCTTGCTCAGAGGAAGAAGGCATGTTCTGAAAGAGAATCTCCCTGCCACATTTGGCCCCTTGTAGACGGGCCAAATGTCAGCAAAGCCTCTTTCGAGAAAAGAATCGGAAAAAGCAGCAGTGTAGACTTAGCCACAAAGAAAAACTGCAGGCAGGTACCCCTTGCAATTCAAATCTCAACACCTTCTCCCAATGGCTCTCCTGGTTCCCTGTCAACACCTCCTAGCTACCTGAGTTATGCCCTTCCAGCATGACTGCAAACTATTGATAACTACTCTCTGGGAATAGTTGTCCAATCAGTTATGAACCCGCCTTATAGGAGCCCCATCTAGGTTGCATTTCCCTACTTTATTAATGGGGTCATGCAAGACTGTATCAAATGCTTTCCTAAAGTCTAGGTATACCACATCTACCGCTTCCCCCTTATCCACAAGGCTTGTTATCCTATCAAAGAAAGCAATCAGGTTGGGATATATTAACAGGAGTGTTCTAAGCAAAAGATAAGCAGTAATTCTTCTACTCTACACTGTGCTGATTAGGCCTCAACTGGAGTATTGTGTCCAGTTCTTGTGCCCTTATTAATGTCTCTGAAAAATTGCCAACAATCTTCAATTGTTTTTCCTCTTAGGGATGTTTTTCTTCCCAAGTGATGTTACCTATCATCTCCCTGAATTTTCTAAATTCTGCCGCCTTGAAATCCATTTTGCTGTTCTCCCTCCTGCCATTCCTTAGAATTGTGAACTCCATCATTTCACGATCTCTTTCACCCAAGCTGCCTTCCACTTTCAAACTCTCAACCAGTTCCTCCCTGTTTGTTACAATCAAATCCAGAACCGCCTCCCCCAGTTGCTTTCTCCACCTTCTGAAATAAAAAATTGTCTCCAATACATGCCAAGAACTTGTCGGATAATCCATGCCCTGCTGTTTCAACAGATGTCCGGGCAGTTGAAGTCCCCCCTCACCACCTAGTCCTGTGCTTTGGATGATTTGGTGAGTTGTTTAAAAAAACCTCATCCACCCCTTCTTCTTTTTTAGGTGGTCTGTAGTAGACCCCTACTATGACCTCACCCTTGTTTTTTTACCTCTTTTATCCTTACCCAGAGACTCTCAATAAATCTGTGTCCTATATCCATCTCGACCGCAGTGCAAGTATATACCTTTTTAATATATAAGGCATCATCTCATCTGCAAACTTTATCTGTGATTATTTTGTTTTCTTCCAAGTTGTTGATAAAGATGTTAAATAGCTGCTTCTTTATCTTGGTCTAGGATTGATAGACAATCCAGTAATTACCTGGGTTGCCTCATTTATCCTTTTAATAATGTTACAGCTTTAGTTTTCTTCCAGTCTTTCAGAACTTCCCCAGTGCTCCAAGACTTACTGAAAATCAACATTAATGGTCTACTGAGCTCTTAAGCCAGCTCTTTTTAAACTCTTGGATGCTGGTTATCAGAACCTACTGATTTGGTATAGTGCATTGGCCCTTGGGTTGCCAGGACCATGGTTTGTTTCAGAACACCAGAGGACAAGGAGAGCCAGAAATGCAGTCCCTGGCACATCTTAGGGACTGGATTAGGTTCCATCTAGTTCATGCCTGGTGCAGTGAATTTTCCATCACTCACATGGCCCCAGGCAAACAGGGGTTGGCCCTTGTGGAAGAGAGAAGTGTTGGTGAATGGTACAGCTGATTGACCACACGTTGGTTAACTGTGAAATATATTCACAACAGATCCAATTTTGGGAGCTGGGACTCTTGCTCAGTGCTGGGGATCTCAGTGTGGTTTCTCTGATCTCTTCGGCGGCCAGGAGAGGGGCTGGCACCCCCAGCACGGCAAGGCCCACGCCCCAGCTCTGGGCCGGACACCGGGCATAAAGACAAGGATGATGCACATGATGCCCTGTCACCCACTCCTGCGTAGGGGCAGCCGCTGAAACCCGCAGAACCTGGATCCTGGTGGTGCGGGCTCAGCTGTGCGCGGGGCGGGGCAGAGGGCGCGGGCTCAGCTGTGGGCGGGGCGCGAGGGCGCCCCCTAGCGCTGCTGCCGCCCGGTGCGCGCTCTGCCCGCGCTGGCTGGCTCGGGGCTGGAGCCCGGGGCGGTGATTGGCCCCGGCCGCTCCCGCAGCGCCCAATGGGGGCCCGAGCCGGGGGATAAAACCCTGGCGGCGCCCGCTCTCCCCGCGCTCCTTCTTGCCCGCTCCCGCACCATGGAGCGCGCTGCGCTCCGCCTGCTGCTCCTGGCTCTCGCCGCCGGCTGCTGCCGCTCGCTGCCCGACCCAGGTGAGTGGGGAGGCTCCTTCCCCCGCTGCCCGGGGAGCGTCCTGCCTCCGCGGCGGCTCAGGTGGGGCTGGCGGCTTTGGGGCGCCCCCTGCCCCGCTGAGCAGCCTGGCACCGGGGGGCTGCCGGGGGAGGGTCTGTTGCGAACTCTGCCCAGGGGGTGGCTGAGCTCAAGGGGGGGCTTCTGGACTCCAGTGGATCCGGGGGGCAGGTCCACGTGTTCCCAGCTCCCAGGGGGTGTGGGGCCCATCCAGTGTCCCAGGCCAGGGGCGCTCAAGCTGCGGGCCCTGGACCCCTGGCTGGGGGGGCACATCCTCCCCGAGACGGGCCAGACCTCCAGCCACTGGCTCAGAGGGTGAGCGCCCCGTGCCTAGTGCTGTGAGCTGCAGCCCTTGGTGGAGCGAAGGCCACGGCATGGCCGGGCTGTGCAGTGACTAGCTGTGGCTGCTGGCAGGTGGGCTGTGCGGCCCAGCTCTCCACTTGGGACCTAGGCTGGGGTGGGGGGCAGGGCTGGCCCATAATATTTTGGCACCTGAGGTGGGGCCCTGAAATGATGCCCCCTTGCTTGGGCCCAAACTTTGAAAGGTCTCAGTCCTGCTGCCTTCCTGTTCTACTCCTCTGTGGTGCAGCAGAGAGAATACACCTGCACCAGCAGACAATCTTCTACACTGGGGGGGGCTAGTGGTGCCCCCCACAGTCTGGCACCTGAGGTGGCTGCCTCAGTTTCCTCATGGTAAGGCTAGCGGTGGGTGGGGAGTCTGCTGGCTGCTTCCTCCTCCCAGAGGAGTCCTTGCCTCCTTCTGATGTTGGTTAGGGATCTGCAAAGGAGGCTGAGAACCCCTGCAGTGGTGTGGGACTTAGTGGGCAGCCAAGTGCTTGTCTGCATGGCAGGGCAAGCCAGGACCTCACCAAGCCCCTACAAACTTCCCTCTAACTTGGCTGTCACTTTCCCTGGCATTCTTGCTCTGGGGGGGTGGGGCTATGCTGCAGATGCCTTCCTGCTAGGCTCAGTTTCCCAAGGCAAGTGGGGCTAGTAGCAGGCCCATAGGGGTGACAAGTGGATGGCTTCAAGCCACATGCATCATCTGAGGTGCTAACAAGGCACAGTTGGCCCTAAGGAGACAATTAACTGACTCTTAATGTAGCTGCTCAGCAGGGCCTCATTTGTCCTGTAGGGGACCATAACGGATCTCTAGAATTGGAGGCACCTTCCTTGAGCCATTTCTGTGGCTCTTGGTGTGAAATCCCCCTGGCATGGTAGTCAGGCCCATCACGCCTCTTGTGCCAGAAGCTGACCCAGAAAGCACAGCTGTAAGCTAGAGAGAAACAGTCCCATGTCAGAAGGGGCATTGTCACTAGGCATCTTGCTTCCAGGCTCTAGACCTCTCCTGTCTGCCCCTTGGGTGGCTATATTGGGGACTGATCCTGACCTGGTCCTGCAGCCAGGTGCTAAGGGTCCTGTTAGTGGACAGGAGTATTGTGCCATACTCGGGGGTGTGGTGCAAATGGCTAGTGACTGCCTGGGGCTGGTCTGCTGCCTGCCTTGCTCAGAGGCAGCCTGCTTGGGCTTCAACCAGCTGTAATCTAAGACTAGTAGTCCTGACCTGTGTTCTCTGGAGTGTGACTTGGACTGGCTTGACTCTTGTGGGCTATTCTTTGCAATCTCAGGTAGGTGGTGCAGGTACCAGACACCCCACTGTCATCCCAAGCCATCAGGTCCTGCTCCCAGCCTGTGGGAGGGGGAGGAGTGTTGCAAGTCTGCTTGCTGGCACTGCCCCCCCTGTGCAGGAATGAAGGCAGGGCCTTGGTCTAAGACCACAAGCCATGGCATCCCTACAGCAAAGTTTTGCAGTCTGGGCTGATATCAGGTGGCAAGTCTTCTCTTCCCACCCTCCCTGAGGACCAGGGATCATGATCAATCCTCACCTGTAACGAGCATGTCCTTGCCCCTCTACTGCTGCTCAAAATCCATGTCCTCAAGCAGCTTCAGATGCCAGCTTGACCTTCCTAAGTGCTCCAGCAACAAGCTGCTCTCACGAGCATGGACACTCAACCTCCTCTGCCCTTCTCTCTGCAGGGGGGAGGAACTGTTCTGCTTTGCACCAGGCAGCATGTGGCGAGAGATGTGTCCCTTTCCTGTGGCTCTGTAACGGAGAACAAGAGTGCCCGGATGGGACCGATGAGCACTGTGGTGAGTTTGGGCTCTAGACTGACCCCTTGTTGGAGCAGCAAGGTACCTCCGTGCTATCATTATCCCTTGCAGCAGATGCAGGGAGGCTTCTTGCAGCTTTAGTCCAATGGCCCACAGGCCACTAAGCCAGTGGTCCCCAACCTTTTGGGGCTGCCAGCAACAGTGCCAGCCATGCACTGCACTCCCAGGGTTGGCACCACCCATGTGCTGTGACTGTGCTGCACGCTCAGGGGTGGGGTTGCCCATATACCATGTGCCCAGGGCTGGAACAGCCCATGTGCCTGGGGGTGGGGCTGCCACCACCCATGCACTGCATGCCTGAAGCTGGCACCTGCACCATGTGCCCAGGAGCCAGCAGCGCCCATGTGCTGTGTGCCTGGGGCTGGTGCTGCCCATACACTGCAAGCCTGGGGCCAGCACAGCCCTCATGCTGCTCACCCAGGGCTGGTGCCGCCCCTGTGCTGCATGCCTGGGCCAGCACCACCCATATGCTGCATTCCATACGCACCCGGAGGTTGGGCCACCTAACCACCATGCACCCAGGGCTGGCACCAACCATGTGCTGCACACCTGTGGCCAGTGCCACCCATGTGCCCAGGGGCAGGGCTGGCCCCAAGCACTCAGCAGGTGCACAGAAATGGCCCAGTGGGCGCCATGGCAGGGACCACTGCACTAAACCTTTCAATCAGTCCATGGCCACTTCCCAGACCCTCAGGCTGGGAGCAGCCCCAGAGCTTAGAGTGGCTGCGCCACCTGCCTTGGCATGGGTGAGGGGGAGCTTTGCATGCTGCCCTGCCTGCAGCAGTCTGTCAGCTCCCATTGGCTGGAACCAGCCAATGGGAGCTGATGACTTGTGCTGTGGGCAGGGTCAGTACATGGAAATTCCCCCAACACACAGCTGTGCAGCCCAGAGGAGCACTTGGAGCAGGAGCTCTGGCGCTGTGGCAGGGAGCCTAGCCAAGGCCTCATTGGGGAAGCACCTCCAGGCCAGAGCCTGCCTCTGGCAACCCACCAACTCCCTGCCCCGGATCAGAACCCAAACCCCTGATATCCCCAGGTCACAGCTCCCTCCCAGACCTCCTTCCCTGAGGCTAGAATCCTCTCCTGGACCTTGCACCCCAATCCACTGCTCCAGGTCACAACCCTATCCTTCAACCAAACTCCCTCCCACCCTGGGCCCTGCACCCAACCTCCATCCCACACCCCACAGAATTGCAGCCCTTGACACCTTTCTAAAACCTTGGAATGTCCCCAGCAAAAACTATTGCTCAGCCCTCTGGTCTCAACCCTGAGCTCTTGGAGAAGACACCTGTATAAAAGCCCTCTTCTGTATAGAGGCTGAACACTGACCCAAAAGCAAATGTGAACAACCCCACCACCACTTACTGGGGAGCATGCCCTGGGTATTTTTCAGACCTTGTAAGGGAACTCTTCTCTAGCCACGAGAGTTCTCCTGCTAGGCTCTTGAACCACCAAATGCCAGCTCAATGGTGAGCTAAGAGGAGTAGCCCCACTACAGCTTGGTTTGTAGAAACCTTCTTGATGGCACCACACTGGAGATTCTAGCATGAGCAATCTCTGCAAATTCATGTAAGGTCTCAGTAATAGGGGGTGAGTCTCCAGCTGAGATGACGAGATGCACACTGTGACCTACTAGTGTTAATGAAAGCTGGGGTCTAGCTAGGCCGTGTTACCACACCAGCATGCTCTCCAGCCCCTGCAGCTAGACTTGCAGGACTTCTTACCACTCCTAACTGGAGTCACAGGCTTTAGTTATTGTAGATCCATTGCATCTTGGCAGCCATGCGCAGACTGATCATTGTCTGAGACTGTAGCACTATTTCCCAGTCTAGTATCTGGGGTGGGAACCTGCTGGCTCCCCTCTTAACAAGGCTTTGTTACCTGTTTGAGGTAGTGCTTGCTTGAGCTTAGCTTTGAGTAAACTTGACCTGGTGGGGCCCTTAATTACAAATGGAGCAGGCTTCTCCTCTGTTACAAGGGTGGTGTTTAGCTCCATGCCCTGGCAAACACCTAAATATAGAGTGGAGCATGTGTAGGGGAATTGATACTATTCCATAGCCATCCTCACTCAGCAAGGCCTGTCAGGCGTAATGCCAGAGCAGATACAGGCTAGCTTCAATTGCACTGTACTAAATATTGACTGGAGTGACTGACTGCTCTGTACAGGCTTCATTGATGACCCATTAAACACAAAGCTAACTGCTGGGCGCTTTCTCTCCGTTAAATGTGCAACTCAGGCAAGCAGCTGAAAACACTCGTCCTTCTAGTGATGTGCTGCTAGCTCTCCCAACTGGGGTTAAACTCTAATCCAAGGCCAAGTTTGCAAAAGCCGTGCCCATTGGCTCTGGAGCGTGGGTGTGCAGCTGATGGACAAAATGCCAAGCCTGTAGATGACTCTGCATGGCCAGGAAGGGTGGTCACAGCAGGCATTGGTCATGCTAGACCTGTGATGTCCAGCCAGTTCTGAAGCCGTTGCCGTGAGACACTCAACTGGCCAAACACTAGCCACATGGGACTGTGGTAGACACCAGTGCTAGACTGAGCTCAGTGGAAGTGGCGCCTGCATGCTGGCTGCAGTGAGTGGCTGTATTTGGGCAGTCACAAGGCATCTGGCTGACAGGATCTCTTCCAGAAGTCTGCAGCAGCTCTTGAGTCCACAGTTTGGACCACTCAGGGCACCTCTTGGGTGAAGACTGGTCTTCTGAATATCTTGGGGCACAGCCTCCTGACTGGGGTTCCCACTAAACCATCAAAGCTTCCTTTCCACCTCTGATGGCCTTTGCCCATGACTTGGTGCCAAGGACATCCTTGGCCAGCAGTCTGGGAGCTTCATCTGGAACAAACTTGTTTCTCTATTTGGAGTTCACAAAGGCCGTTTCCAGAGGCCTGTCTCAAGCTTTCTGATGCTTAACTCAAGTGCTCCGTACTCCAGGTAGAGAATAGACAAATGAACAGGGAGGTTGGTTTAATAGTCCTATGCTCTAAATGGCTGGCTGCTCATTCTGTTCTGCTTTGGAAAGTCTTCACTGAAGCGTGGATTCCGCAATATAGTGACTGACTACCAAGTGTGCTGACTATCAACTAGGGATACTGTAGTCTCTAAAGCTGCCCTTCTGAAAAACAAGTGACCATGAACACTGATGCCAGCAGGTGTTCACCCCACACTGCCCTGTAAGCATTGTCGTGTGATGGCACCTTCCCCAGAAAAGGGTTCCCTTTCAAGCCCTGCCAGCCAATGACTGAAACCTCCTATAAAAGTCTAGTTGTTGCTTGGTTGTGCAACTCAGCCAGCAGCTGCTGATCTGGTAATAGGTAGCAAATCAGACTGCCCTGTCATGGTGCTGGTAGACCAGCCTAGCTGTCTCATGCTTGGGGTTGCCCTTCACCAGGCTGGAAGGGTGCAGCATGCCCACAAGGTGGTAGTGGCTGGCAGTCGTGAGTTTTCCGTGCAATGGCTGTTAAAGACTTTCCTGTCTCTCTCCTCACCCTTGTTCAGAAGCAGCATGTCGTGGTGATGTGGATGCATGGCAGTGTGACAATGGAAGGTGCATTTCTAGTAGTTGGCTCTGCGATGGTACCAGTGACTGCAGAGATGGCTCGGATGAGAGAAACTGTGGTAAGTATGATTCTCTGCCTCTTGGGACTTGTGTGGTGCTCCTAGTGTGACTACAGACAGACCTCTGAGAGCTGCACCCTGCCACTGGCTTTCAGGCACCAAAGCGCTGACGTGCATGCCCCTCGGCAGCAGGCCTTGTGCTAGAGAGGAGTTGAGCTGCTGTTTTCACTAGAATGCCTCCTGCAGAGGGAGGGTCCTGTGTTGAATAGTCTGGCTGCTTCTAATGCCCAACAGAGCCAGCAGTCTAGACCCCATCCAGAAAAACCATGCGGGCCTATAACCTGAGACTGAGATTTGCAAGATGCATATCTGGGTGGTGCCCTGCCCCACAGCCAGTGGGTGAGGGAGAGGTGCCCCACATACATGGTGGCCTCTCCTCTCTGCTAGGAGCTGGTGCTCTAGAACTACTAGACCTGCCTGTTCATGGCAGATGGGAGGGAGTCTAAGATGGCTGCTTCCTCTGACACCAAGGCCTGAGACAAGCTATAGGCAGAATCCCAGCTGAGAGGTCAAAGATAGAAGTGCTTGAGCTCTTGAGCATGAACAAATGACCGGCTTGTACCTTGTCTGTAGCAATGACCCACACCTGAACTACCTGAATAAAAATTTACTATGTAACGGTATTAAACTGCCCATACTATTGTAAGTCAGTCTTGGAAGATGACCCCATACACTTTGACTACCTGCTGTCTGACCTCTGTGCCTCAGGCACTGTAGCCATGGGTTGGGAGTCTCGCTGGCAAACTGCTTCCTTCCCCTGTGACCGGCACTTGTTTCCACAGGAAAGCACTCCTGCTGGCAACATGCTGTTCCCACTGGCACTTGTTACAGCAGGATGCTGGGTGTGGGAGGGCACCTTTTTGTACAAAACCAATTTTGTCACTCCATTGCCTGTCTGCATCACTAAGTGGGAAGCAGAGCCTTGTAATGAAGAGGCTGTAAACGTCCTTCCCTGGAGTCCAGGGTGGCTCTCACCTGGGATGGCTAGGCTGGCACATGGCTGACTTTTTTATTGCAATTGGTCAGATTAGACTAGTGTGAAGGGTTAAGTTTCCTGCCTTTCTCTTGCTCTCTGCTGGCTAAATGCTATCGAAGAGCTCCATAAGCTCGTTTTCTTTGAGCCCTCAAGAGAAGGCTACCAGACAGATGTTTGAATTTCAAGGTAGCCATTGGGCCTTGGTAAAAACAAGGGTGCCTAGACATGGCACAATGCCTGCTGAAGGAGTGTTCCTCCCAGTTACAGGTTAGGGTCTAAAACTTATCCCTGCTCTACAGAACACAGGGCAGATAGGTTTCTTACAGCTCCTGTCTTACTGCCTAAGCCAGTAGTTCTGCTGTACTTGATCAAACCAGAGCTTAGCCTGTAAATGGCTCTCATGGTCACTTGTGGTCTCTCATGATAGTCTGTGAAGAGAAGAAAATTCCGTGCCGGGGTAACACCCAGTGCATTGATCCTTGGGAAGTCTGTGACCTCCATGAAGACTGTGAAGATGGCTCGGATGAAGCCAACTGTCCCCAGAACCACTGTCTGCCAGGGCAATGGCAGTGCAAGAACAAAGTCTGCATTATGGAGGACTGGAAGTGCAATGGTGTCAACAACTGTGGTGATTCTTCTGACGAAGACATCTGTGGTACGTAACCAGCCGCAGTCTCTCAGGGCTGTAGCTTCTGGGACTCAAGTCTTGTGCTGAATCCCCATCTAGCCACAAGCTTAGTGGCAATAAGCTCAAACAAACACTCCATCTTGGTGTAATGGAGTCAGAGGACACTGAAGTGCCTGCCTCATGGGGGTGAGTCTGCCTAGCAGCTGAGCTGAAGGGACCGAGCCACCCCTCATGGACCAGTTAGGTGGGGGCTAGTGTTCCTACAGCCGTTCTCAGACTTTGCTTGGGTCTGGAGTCGAGGCATGGATGAGCTTCTGAGCCCTGCTAGCCCAAATCCAGCCACCCAGAAGATGTACACCCCCACCAGACTAGATGCTGTGTAGATGCACCCATTGGCTCTGGGGAATATGGGGGGAGAGGGGGCAGGAGGAAAGTCAGAACTAAAATGATCTGAAGACTCATCCACCATGTTAATATTGCAATAACTCATATGGTCTGGGGTCTAGCTGTTTATGGGCAGATTGCTCACCCGTCTCAGACAACGGGTCTATTGCTGAAGACCAACCTGTATTAGAGCAGCACTTTCTCCAAGGGGTTCTTGCAAGTTAGTGCCCTAGCTCTAAAGATCAATTAAGGTAACCTAACCTGAAAGGAGTGGTCCCTTTCCAAGCTTAGACATTCTCCATGGATGCAGTTCCACGACTGGGCTAAAAGGTCAGTCCCATATTCACCAAGAATGTGGGAATAAGTTGAATGCTCAGACAGCCGAAGTGCAACTCGGCACCTCCATGAACCACACGTTGACTTTCTCCAGTGCCGACTTGGTCTGCTTTAGTTGAAGCATTCTTGTCATGTCCTGCGTCTGTAGCCATGCTCGGGCAGTGAGTGATCAACTCCTTGCCTTACCTTCCATCTGAAACCAGACTGAGCTTCCTATGGCCTGTCTCTAGTAGCAGTCTGCTGCAATGTCACCGTGACCTCGCCTAGGAGTGAGCAGCAGGAGTGCACAATTTGATTTAGCAAGACGTTCATGCAATTCGAGTAGTAAAAACAAATTTAATACCTTTCAATTCAAGTTCCCTGGTGCAGCTGGGTTCCAGATACCAAATTCCCACAGCGCTTGCCTTAGACAGGAAATAGCTAGCATCCAAAACTGAAGTGCTTGTCCATTTGCCCTTAATGAGACACATTCTGTCCACCAAGTCCTCAAGGGAACCTTTCTGGAGAATGTGGCCAACAATTATTTCTTGCAAGCTGAGCACAGTAGTAGACTAACTCGCTGTCTTCTCACGCAGCCCACTGCCCAGAAGGCATGATCCTTTGTGACGAGGGGAAGTGCATCTTGGGAGCTCTAATGTGCAACGGGGCAGAGGACTGTCTAGATGGAACAGATGAACTCAGTACTTGCGGTAATGTCGCAGCTCCCTGCATCTTCTGGCTCTTGAATGCCCCATAGGCGTGACACCACGTCTCACACCCAGGCTTGTTTGTGGTTAATGCAGGCAAAAACTGCTCTGTGGATAATGGAGGTTGTGTGGAGACCTGTACGGAAACCAGCTGGGGCGTGAGGTGTTCTTGTGGTGCTGGATGGGAGCTCCAGGCTGATGGACAGAACTGTACCGGTATGGCCACATCTGCACCTGTCGAACAATCTCAGGGTGGGGTGAGCAGGGCAACCTCCAAAAGTAACTGAGGAGCATGCTCATGTAGCAATCTGCCCCAATCAACCAGAGCAGGAAGCTTTTCCTTCCCTTCCCCTCCACAGTAGGGAGTCCATGGCTGGTTGGACTCAACTAGTGACCATCTTCAGGCCTGTGGATAGTCTGTCCTCCACGGGCTGGCCCCTAGGGGAGGATCGTGCCACCCTCTTGGTGGCCAGGCTACCAAGAGAACAGCATTAGAAGCTCATTCGTGAAGATCCAGAGATCTCACATTAAGTCGGTTTCTGGCCAGCCCTTCAGGGGTCTTAGTCACTACACTGGCCTCGGCTCAAGTTGAGCGTCTTGGGCTTATGACTCCTTGGTGAAGATTCAGGCCTGTCACATTAAGTCGGTTTCTGGCCAGCCCCTTCAGGGGTCTTAGTGACTACACTGGCCTTGGCTCCACTTGAGTGTCTTGGGCTTACGACTTCTTGGTGAAGATTCAGGCCTAGAGAACTCAGCAGCCGGCACACCTGGTCCCCTTTGGAAAGGGGGTGAGGCTTGCAATACAGACTGGCCTGCAAGGGTGACCTGGCTTAGTGGGATGAGATGCTGGCTGTGCCAGTTCCTAACCCCTGTGCTAATCTCCTCCTGGCAGATGTGGATGAATGTTCCCTGGTGTACAGTCCCTGTAGCCAGCTGTGTGAGAACACACTTGGTTCTTTCACCTGTGAGTGTGTGGCAGGGTACGAGCTCCACTCAGACACCATCTGTGAAGTTGTTGGTAAGTAACCTGTGACTGCAGGGGGCTAGGCTAGGCTGTGCTGCTCCAATTGCCAGCTGGGCTAAAGCCTAGCAGTGTCTGAAGACTTCCTAGCAGGAAGAAACAATTCTACTGCTTGGCTTGCAAGACTTGGCAATGAGTTCCCAACTGCCCTAGGGCAAACACCTGTCTGTCTTCCTGCCCCCACCCCAACCCAAGGTCCTGGAGACTGGTGACTTGAGCCTAGCACTGGTCCCTTCACAAACTTGGCTCTCTGCAAAACCTGTTCAAAGGGCATGTGCTGCCCATTGTGGGCAGGCTCAAAGTGGCCACCCGTCAGCTCCACGCTAGCCTGGTGCAGAAGTGGGGAGGCCCAACTGTGGGGTTGGAGTGTCCACCTCAAACTACAGGGCTTAGAAGGACTTGGGGAGGCTCTCCAAAGAGCCTGGAAAGCCAGCTTGGGCCAAGAGCCGCCACACGTCAATAGTAGCTTGGACTCTATACACAAGCCTCTGCCCGGCTCAGCTACTGAATTAACACCTCGGGCAAATCTGGCCCAGCCTCTCCTCTAGAAAAGGCCCCACTAGCAGCTATGGTCATGTTACTGGCACTGACCAAGGCCACATTCTCAGCCATCCCCATGCATGTTGGTGACATGTGCCAGTTACCAGCAGCAGTTTGTGCAGGGGCAGCTGCATGGTAGACCTCAGTGAAACCCAGGCCGAGCAGTGCTCAATGGCTAGCTCAGCCTGCTACCACCAGCTGGGGCAGGCATGCCACAGTTCAGGCTCTGTCTGGGGCCGCCTTGCTGTGTTGGGAGTAGGAAACCTCACTGGAGCTGGCAGACAAACCCAGGTTCGACCGCTGCCCTGGGTGCTACTTGCTGCTCCAAGCAAGATGAGCCTCCAGGGCTGGCCCATGAAGGCAGTGTCTAAGCTGAGCTCCCTGTCCTGGGCCCATGCTGCTGCTTCCCTCCACTCTAGCTGCTGCTGCTCAGCCCTGCCCAGCTCCCTCTGAGCCCGTCCTGTGGGGACAATGGCACATCCCTGCTCCATGTTGGAGTGGGCAGCACAAGGGCCCTGCTAGCATGTTTCTGCTCGGAGGAGGGAAGCAGATATTGAGCCAGCAGGCAAGAGACCAAGGGTGTAATCACTCCTGTTGCAGACAATGTGACCCAACTCCTGGTAGCCACTGGGCAGGAACTTGCCCTTCTGGATGTGAGAACAGGTGCCCACCGGTCCCTGATCGCCACCAACACCACCCCTGGAGCCATTGCCTATGATCTACTGCGGGGGGCGCTCTACTGGATCGATGCCGACAAACACCTGCGCACCTATACACCTTGGAAGGGGAACACCTTGCTCTACCCAGGTGAGTGCCCCTGCAGAAGGAACCCAGAACAGCGCAGGGGGCCGAAGGTGGAGTAGATGGTAGGGGATGAGACTACCAGAGACCAGGGCATAGTAAATGCCCTGAGCCAAGAAGGAACCCAGAACAGCGCAGGGGGCCTAAGGTGGAGTAGATTGTAGGGGATGAGACTACCAGAGCATTAGTAAATGCCCTGAGCCAGAAGTGGCAATGGGAGACTCTCCCAATGCCATGGCACCTAGACAAGACAGCTTCATCCCACCTGTCCTGTGGGCCCCCCAGCCACAGAACTCCTCTTGGGAGGAGGCACGTTGCCACCGCCAAGGCACTAACCAAACAATGGGGTGGCTGCTCCCAGCAGGCACCTTGCTGCTCTGTCCTATGCATGCAGGGACAGGCACCTTGTTTGACACTTGGGACCTCCTCCATGGGACACTGGAATCTCCATCAGGGGAGGTTTAAGAGCAGGTTAGACAGAGCGGGGATGATCTAGACGGTGCTGGGTCCTGCCGTGAGGGGGCTGCCACCGACTCCCAGGAAGTCTCCATTCTCTCTCTCCTGTGTCTCAGATGTCGAGGCTGTGAACAGCATAGCGGTAGACTGGTTCACAGGGCAACTGTACTGGGCCAGCAGCCACCCCCAGACAATCTGTGCTGGTCTCCGCAACGGCCGGGGATACGTAAAGGTGCTGGAGAAGAACTTGATGCCTGAGCAGCTGACAGTGTATCCAATGAAAAGGTGAGCACTAGATCTGGGCAAGACCCACCCTAAGCAGGCTGGATTTGGCTGGAGCTTCTCAGCTTCCATCTTGGCTGCTCTAATCTGAGGGATGCTCAAATAAGTGCTCAGTTGAGTGGGGCGGAGTCCCAGTGTCTGGTAAGCAGAGCATTGAGCACCTCTAGGTATGAGGAGGCAAAGCTAGTGGTACAGGCCACCTGAAACAGTCCCATCTTAAGACTTGCCACAAGTCTAGACATCTGGTAGGAGATCCCCTCTACAGGGCTCAGCCCTGGCATGCATCCTGCATGCCCCTCTGCATGCTCGTAGCAATGGGCAAGCCCAAAGCAATGCTTGTATGGCCCTTCCTGACAGGTCCATGTACTGGGTGAATCGTGGGGAGAAGGGCAAGACCCTGATCGAAGCAGCCGGGATGGATGGCTCGGACAGACAAGTGCTTGCTGTGGTCTCCATGGAGGAACCCGTTGGGCTGACTCTGGATTACGTGGCTGGCAGACTGTACTGGATCAGCGAGTATAAGGAGGTACGGGGAGGCCTTGGGTCAAACAGTGGTGAACCAGCGGTCCCAGTGAGTTCAAACCTGCCAGGTCACTAAAACTGCTCTGGCCTCATGGGCCTTCTATAGCCCCTGTGCTCCCCGGGAAAAGGAGCCTGAAGAGGTTACCACTTCTAAGCCTCTTTAAAGCCTACTCTGGCATGTGAGACCGTCCAGAAGGCACCCTGGGCGGCAGGGCCCATTAGCGCTCAGCCTGGGATGCCTCTTACGTGGCTGTACTAAGGCACAGCCAATTCCCCAGCCTCTCTTCCTGCCGAGCCTTCGCCCTGCAGGTGGGCTGTGAGCCGCACAAGTACTCCAGCCTGACCCTCAGGACTTCCAGGGCACCGTCCCAGCGATGGGCATCATGCCTGTTCAGCACCATGGACAGGGCCACCCTGACTACTCCTTGGCTGTGTCTAGACTGGCCACTTTTCTGGAAACTTGCCAGCTGTCTACACTGGCCACTTGAATTTCCACAAAAGCACTGACTTCCTACTGTAAAATCAGTGCTTCTCGCAGAAATACTGTTCTGCTCCTGTTTGGGCAAAAGTCCCTTTGCACAAACTTTTGGGCAAAAGGGCCAGTGTAGACAGCTGAGACGTGCTTGTCTGCAAAAAAGCCCCAATTGCAAAAATGGCACGAGACGTGCTTTTCCACAAAGCCCCAATTGCGAAAATGGCAAGCGGGCTTTGCGCAAAAGCACATCTAGATTGGCCACGGATGCTTTTCTGCAAAAGCTCTTTTTTTGCAGAAAAGCATCTGCCAATCTAGATGCTCTTTGCCAAAAATGCTTTTAACGGAAAACTTTTCCATTAAAAGCATTTGCAGAATCATGCCAGTCTAGATGTAGCCCTTGTGCCTCGTTACCAGAGGTTGGCATAACCTATTTGACAGCCGCAGTAGAGTCTTAGCCCTTGGGCAAAGAGGAGTTGCAGCAAGACTAAAACTCTCAAGCAAAAGATGAGAAGCAGGTTCATCCCTAAATGACCTTAAAAGCAAAATGCTGCTTCTCCCATCAGCCCACACAGTGTATTACGGCGCTGTCCCTGGCTACCCTGGACAGCTCTGGAGAACTGAAATGTCTTCAAAAGGGCCAGTGTAGACAGCTGAGACGTGCTTGTCTGCAAAAAAGCCCCAATTGCAAAAATGGCACGAGACGTGCTTTTCCACAAAGCCCCAATTGCGAGCAGAGGCAGTCCCATGTGGATGCCAGTTGGTAGGAATGTTCCCAGTGCAAACTTCCTTTCGGAAAGGGGCATAGGCAGTTAGTAGGCACTAGCTCTTTCCAGCATGCTGCTGAACAGCTTGGCTTGTGGGCTTTACCAAAACTGCATTTTCCATAACAATCCTGGCAAATTCTGCAACTTGACAGTGAGCCTGGCAACAGGATGCTGGCCAGCAAGTGGCGTGGCTGAAAGGGCAACCAGTCTTCCTCAGCCTTCCCTTCTATGCTGAGGAGACACTCAGCTCCATGCTGAAGGCTGCCCTGCCCTAGAAGGGCTTCTGCACACCACCTGCTGAGTCCCCCAGGATCCTGTCCCTGCCTGAGCTGAAGTGCAAATGGAAAAACTAAGCCCTGCATCCCTGGAACTCACCCCACCCTTCCCTGGAAAGGGGGCACCCCAACTGCTTGGACAGGCAGGAAACATGGGCACTAGTGTCCCTCCAGACAGTCCTGAAGAGCTGTGGGGGTGTCTGTTGCTGACGGACCCACTTGTCTTTCAGTCCATAGAAACGGTCAAGGTGGACGGCAGTGGGCGCTACACCTTTCCAGAGATGCTCCTGAAAGACCAGGACCCTGTGGGCTTGGTGGTGTTTGAGAACTGGTTCTTCTGGGCTGACGCAGAGAGACTCCTCTCGGCACCTCGCAGCCCTGCACGGGAGAGGCAGGTGCTGTGGAACACCTCCGTCTCAGCGTTCACCGTGCTGCATGAACTGCAGCAGCAGCCAGGTGTGTGGGCAGATGGCAGGGGAAACCCAGCTGGGCTGCAGCCACTCGGACAGGGCAAC